TTGCAGAGCCAGGGCCATCTCTGGCAGCCCCCCCCCCCACCCAGGAGACCCCAGGGCTTACCTCAGGCTGCCAGTCCCTAGGCCTCCCACCTTCCAGGCAACCCTGCGCCCGGTCCCCAGCCCCATTCCGGTGGAGGCCTCAGCTTGGCCCAGCTCTGATTGGAGTCGGACACGCGCCGGGGAAACACGGCAGCTCCTCCGCCCTGCTGTGCTCAGCTAAGGAGGGAGTGCGAGGAGCAGCTCAGACTCCTGGGGCCTCCTCAGCATGTGGGCTACCTCGGGGGGGAGGAGGGGGGGTATGAAGGTGGCCTGGCTTTGGGAGCAGCCCTCTGGCCAGTAGGAATCCTGGGGTCTCAGCCCCTCTGGAAATCAAGTGGCTGCCGTTTCAAGTTAGGCTCCCTCAGAATGGAGATCCCCTCTACCCCACTCCAGGCTGCTTTCAAGAAAGTCGGCCCCTTCTGTGCCTCAGTTTCCCCACCTGGAAAACAGGACTGCCCTCGCCTGGGGGAAGAGGCATTGTGGAGTGCTGGGAAGAACAAGACGGACTCCGTCCTTACATTGGCTCCTGGAGGGGCCAGAGAGCAGCAGCAGGCTCAGGACCAGGAGGGAATGGTTAGTGAAGCATCAGCCATGTGGCCTCCTCACTCTGGGTTCTGGGACGTGCGTCTGTGGGGGAAGCTACGCTCCCAGACAGCCCTATGCAAGGAGAGGCGTTGTGGGGAACCCGGATGCTGGGCAAAGCAAGTGTGCCTCAGTGTTCAGTGTTACAGTCGCAGCAGGAGGACCCAACAAGAGCAGGGCCTCCCCCTGCCCGGTCACACTGTGCAAGACAGTCCACCCCCAAAATAACTCAGTCTCAACAGACAAAGGATGGGGAAGGGAAACTGAGGCACAGAACAGCTAAGCAACTTGTTCACTGTCACGCCAGTGGCAGAGCTGGGACTAGAACCCAGGTCTTCTGAGTCCCCATCCAATGCTGTGATCACTAGGCATCCCTGCCTCTCGGCACCCCGGTTAAACAACTGTCCTCTCCTCGGTGTTAGCTCTGGAGATGGGCATGTTGTATGCGTCTCTTTCTAGGGCACCTCTTACAGGGCTGTCTGGGCTAACTCACGCCTTGGGCACTTCGTACAGCCCAGACACCCTTCAGACTCCTAAAACTTGCCATCCCCCAAGGATCCCAAAGGAGAATTTCTCCCAGCACTGAAATGCAGCCAGGTCTAGGGTGCAACTCGGCAGGCAGGTGAAACAGCATGTCTTGCTGCCCCTGACAGGAGGGGAAATGCTGGCGGAAGACACGCCACCAGCCCCCTTCCGCTTGAGAGAAGGGCATTCTTGGTGCCCACATGCCCCCATCGTGCTGGCGGTTGTACAGACACAACCGGCAGGCTTGTGTGCCGAAGAATCTACAAGCAGGTAGGGAGCAATGAGTCAGTACTGACCAGCACCATGACAGCTGGTGCGTGGCCGTGAGGGACCAGAGAGCAAGATGACAGGGGCGTAATCAGCCCTGCTACAAGACAAAGCCCTGAATAGCGGGACCGTCCCTATAAAGTCAGGACATCCGATCGCAGCTGAGCCCAAAGCCTGCACCAGTCTCCTGTGTTATCAGCCTCCCAGCAAAGGAAGCGGGGTGCAGGACAAGTGTAGCTAAACCTTTGTATTAGTCATTTTACAATGTCTCAAGTCTTTTTTACGTTGTAGTAAGTCCTTCCACATTGTTGAAACTTTGTATTAGGTCTTTTTATACCATTATAGTCCTTAGGAATAACCAAGGTAAAGAAACTGTCGTCGTACTGGAGGTAGAATGGCTCTTACCCCTTTGACGTGAAAGTGGTTCTGTGCCGGATGAATGAGGCGTGTGTGACGGCACGTTGGGGGTCCCCCGTCTCCTGCACCCCGAAATGGCACAACCAGACTGCACCAGCCGGTGGAATAGAGGAAGTTTATTGCCTCTCCAGGATACAGCACAGCACAGATGTAATTTGGTCACAGAGCTGGGCTAGGATGCCTCAGGCCCCCTTGAGATGGGGGGAGACTGGGCCCCTAAACTCCAGCCCCTTTCCCTAGGCTGTCTCCTCCATGCTCCCAGACAGCAACTAACTAACTCTCTTCCAGCCCTGCCCCCCAGCCAGGGCAGCATCCACCTCCCTTTGTTCCTCTCCATGGGGGGTGTCTGGCCATACTGGTTGCATAGTGACTCATCCTGTTTTGCTGGGTCGTGGTACCCACGGCAGCCAGTGGGGGTTACCCCAGAGCCAGCAGCATAGAAACCAGCCAGGTACCCCCCTACATCACAGTGTGTATGGATGAGGCGTGGGAGGCAGGCACTCTGAGGAGTGACAGTTGCAACCGTTGAAAAGGGGAAGAATAGGAGCCAAATCCAAGGACACCAAGACGTGGTCCAATGAGAGGATCATATGGACGCCCTCGGGAGTCAGAAGCAAGCACCCTCTTCGGAGCTGAATGCCGCACTGCGGATAACACCCGGAAGAAGGCGCCGTAGATCTAATGAAGAGCTAATTGACACTGCTAAGTGCAGACATTTGCACGAGAGGGAGGCTGCTCTAAATGTGGGGTGTCTTGCATGGGACCCCGGGTCTCGTCAACATTGGACCTTCGCTCTGGACTGGAAGAAGCTTGGTTCCTTCCCCTCCCACGTCTAACTCACCTGGCCAGTGAAGTTAAGGGGAGCAACGAGTTGGTAACTAAGCAACAAGACGGAGTGTGTGGGTATGTGTCTGAGGGTATTCGTATGTCATATGCATATGATGCAGTGTTGATATCGATAAAAGTGGGGGTTTGCCTTATCCCCCTGAAAAAGAACCCAGGCAGGTCTCCAAGTACAACACAAGGAGCAGGCTTGGGGGGGAGGGTTCGGGGTGCCGTGGTGTTAATTCCAAGGGACGAATGGCCCCAGAAGGGAGGTGTGAATATGAGCCGGTCACTAAGCAGCTCAACAAGGCTTGGAGGCCAAGGCCCTCGACCCGCTTAGTCCCACGGCAAACAGGCTCGAAAGTCCACGCAAAGGCTGGGAACTATTGAGGTTCAGATCCAAACCCAAGAGCCTTCTGCTACTGCTGCGCAGGAGAAACGAGCGAATGCAGGGTGTTGCCCACAGTCACTCCGCCCCCTTAGCAGGCGGGAAAGGGCGGGCTCTGAAGCTGGTATTTCAGCAGGTTGCTGGGCTCATTCTCCCTGCTTGGACCCAGTCTGATGCAGGAGGAAGGTCGTACACCCGGGGCAATGCAGGTGTAGCGCTTTCCACCACCTCCTCAGCATGCAAGTGACAGGCGGCTACCTGGGCTGGCAGGTCAGTGTGACCCTCCCTCCTCCCACCACTCGGTCACCCAGGCTGGGCGTCACAGAATCCTACGAGAAAGGACTCAAGGGGTCAAGACCAGTCTCCTGCTCTCACAGCGGGACCGAGCACCATCTACATCAGGGGTTTCCAACGGTTTTTATACCAGGGATCGGCAAACCCGTTCACAGACTTTTGGTGGACCGGTAGCATTTTATCTGCATATTTACATTTCATTATGCAAACAATAAATATGCAAATAAAATGATACTGGTCCATCAAAAGCCCAGGCCCTCAGAGCCAGCCCTAACCCCTAGAACCTCCTACCCCTCCATACCCCTCAGCGCCAGTCACTGACCCCAGCATCCTCTTCATCCAACCTCCCCTCCCCCAGTGCTGGCCTCCTGCCCTCAGAGCCCGCAGTGCCCATCCCAAATGACTCAGTGCCTGCTCCCCACCCCTAGAAGCCCCCCTCCTAGATCCTCAGTGCCAGCCTCCTGTTTCCAGAGCTCCACTGCAAACCCAATTCTTTCAGTCTTTCCTCATAGCTCATGTTCTCTAGACCTTTAATCAATCTTGTTGCACTTCTCTGGACCTTCTCCAATTTCTCCACATCTTTCCTGAAATGTGGTGCCCAGAACTGGACACAATCCTCCAACTGAGGCCTAACCAGCGCAGAGTAGAGCAGAAGAATGGCTCCTCGTGTCTTGCTCACAACACTCCTGTTAATGCAGCCTAGAGTCGTGTTTGCTTTTTCTCCCCTCCCACACAGTGTCACACTGTTGATTCATATTTAGCTTGTGGTCCATTATGACCCCTAGATCCCTTTTTGCAGGACTCCTTCCTAGACAACCACTTCCCATTCTGTATGTGTGAAACGGATTGTTCCTTCCTAAGTGGAGCACTTTGCATTTGTCCTTATTGAACTTTGTCCTGTTCACCTCAGACCATTTCTCTAGTTTGTCCAAATCATTTTGAATTATGACCCTATCCTCCAAAGCACTTGCAACCCCTCCCAGCTTCATATAGTCTGCAAACTTTATAAGCGTCCTCTCTATGCCATCATCTAAATTGTTGATAAAGATATTCAACAGAACCGGTCCCAAAACTGATCCTCCTGGAATCCCACTTTCTTATGCCCTTCCAGCATGACTACTACTCTCTGAGAACAGTTAGCCAACCAGTTATCCACACACCTTATAATAGCCCCATCTAAGTTGTATTTCCCTAGTTTATTGATAAAAAGGTCATGCAAGACTGTACCAAATGCTTAACTAAATCTAGGTATACAACATCTACCTCTTTCCCCTTATCCACAAAGCTATCAAAGAAATCTATCAGATAGATTTGACACTTATTCTTAATAAATCCATGCTGGCTCTTACCTATCACCTTATTATCTTCCAGGTGTTTGCAGATGGATTCCTTAATTATTTGCTCCATTATCTTTCCTGGCACAGAAGTTAAACTGACTGGTCTGTAGTTACCTGGGTTGTTCTTATTTCCCTTGGTATAGCTGGGTGCTATCTTTGCCCTTTTCCAGTCTTCTGGAATCTCTCCTGAGTTCCATGACTTTTCAAAGATGATGGCTAAAGGCTCAGATCCCTCCTCTATCAGCCCCTTGAGTATTCTAGGATGCATTTCATCAGGCCCTGGTAACTTGACGACATTTAACTTTTATTTTAACTTCTGAGCCTACCTCCTTTTTGCCAGCATTCACAATTGTGGGCATCCAATCACCACCAACCTTCTTGGTGAAAACCGACACAAAGACTTCTGCCATTTCCACGTGTTCTATTATTATTTTTCTCTCTTCACTGAGGGATGGGCCTGCCCTGCTCTTGATCTTTCTCTTGCTTCTAATGCATTTGTAGAATGTTTTCTTGTTACCTGTTATGTCTCCAGCTAGATTGGGCTCATTTTGTGTCCTCTGGCTGTTCGGGTCAGGTCCATCTCCTTTGCTGGGTTTGCACCGGCAGGGCAGAGCTGTCTCCTGGCTGGCTTTTGGCTGTGCTGATGCTCTTGGATCAGGTAAAAAGCCGAGAGATAGAGGACAGAAGGAAGAGGGGGAAGAAAGAAACACACAAGGAAGGGGAAAGTCGAGCAGGCTCTCACTTGCCTTAGATGTGGTCTCTGCTGGTCCACAGGTGCTGGGACTAAGGATGCGGGGTGGGGGGTGTGATGTAGTGGGGGTACTTGCTGGGCTGTGGTGACCTCTGCTGTCTGGAGCAAGACCCAGCAGGGAAAACCTTATTATGCAAAGGTGACTCCATACCGGTTGAACCAGCCAACCCCCCATGGGGAGAAACAAAGGGAGGTGGATGCTGCCCTGGCTGGGGGCAGGGCTTGGAGAGGGGGAGTTAGTTCCTGGCTGGAAAGCAGGGGAGAAGGAGCTGGGGAGGGGGCTGGGACTCCCCTATCTCAAGGGGGGCACTGAGGCCTCTTAGCCCCAGTTCCTGTAACCAGATTACATCTGTGCTGCGCTGTATCCTGGAGGAGCAATAAACCACCCTAAGGATGCGGGGTGGGTGGGGGGGCTGCAGCACCCTCTGGCTGGATGTGGTTTCCGTTCTGTCCAGGGTTTGCAGTCTGGTTCAATGGCTCTCCGCACCCCCACCATACAAATTGTTCCCGCCCCCGTGCTGCTGCGGATGTTCCCAGCAGAGCAGGGTGTCTGTGGTCTCAGTTATACTACGAGATCTCCCGCCACAAGGGTGGCGGAGGTTTTAATGCTCATGTCCCACGTATGCGACCCGGCCTCCTTTGCAGGATCCTCCCTTGGCAATCGTAGCCGGGCCCGTTGCCAGGCCTGCGCCCCCCCTGCCGTGGCCGCAGAGTCCAGGGCAGGGCGCAGGGAGATGCCAGAGAGAGCCGCTCAGTCGGGCTGTGTCCAGCTGCCTTGGTGGAGGGTCCCTTGTGCATACACGAGAGGCAGCCTGAGCCCCGTGGGACGTAGCAGTGCTGGCAAGGGGCACCGATGGGTCAGCGTTGGCTTAGGCTTGAGCGTGGCTGGAACTAACAGGTGGGCCACGTAGCCACGCAAGCAATGGGGAGCCTTCTCCTCCCCCCTCCTGTGGGTAACACACTGGACCAGGCCAGTGACCCCTGACCCCATCGCCCACCTCCCCCACTGAAGCATGCGGGTCCCCAGGCACGGGACACCTAGGCGCGCAGCCAGCACTTTGATGTCCCTGGGAGGAAGCTGACCCCTTGGTCACATGAGCCCATTGAGGAGCTGGGAGGCCCAACAGAGGCCCATTGTGGGGCAGGATGTGGGAATGGCCTGCCCTGGGGGGGCTGCCTGGCTGCACAGAGAGCTGGCCCCGGCCCGCCCCCTCTGGAGTCAGCCGGAGAGGGTTGTGCCGGCCGGCGAAGCTGCTACAGGAGCCGGGGGAGACCCAGCAGCTGGAAGTGGAGCTAGAGACATAAGGCTGAACATAAGGGCGCGTTGGCGCTGGGTGCCAGCTCTGCCAGGCAGGCGGCAGGAGCCACTGGGGACAGTCACCATCCGGGGCCAGGCAGGAGGCCAGGCTGGCTGGGCAGAAGAGTCTCTTCTGGCTTGAACCGCTAGGCTCCTGCCCCTGGCACCTGCCGTCCCCAGTTTCCAGGTTAACACCTGGGCAAAAGGGGAGAGGTAAGGCTGGCTCATTCCAGACAACTGGCCCCTTTGGGGGGGGGGGGGCTGTATTACATCCCAGATGCCCCATCCACAAACATGGGCTAGTTCTCCTCACTCCCCATGGGTAGGTCAGGTGGGGGAAACTGAGGCACAGAGATTTTTTTTTAAGGCCATCCTTAGTCTTTGTATTTCACCTAGGGGCTCATCTACACGGCAGCCCCCTCCCCGGCACGGCAGGAAGTCTCAGAACTGGGACAACAGGCTCAGGCTTGTGGGGCTGGCCAAAAACAGCCGGGTGGGGGTTCCTGCTTGGGCTGCAGCCCACCCTGCTCGCTGGGTCTCAGGGCCTGGGCTCTGAGCGAGGCCGCCTGCACGCTACTGGCCCTGGGAGCCTGAGCCCTCTAGGCTCTGTGACTTGCTGGGAGGGGCGCTCACTGGCGCTCAGCCATTCCCCCGGAGACCCCAGCGAGAGCGGGACCTGCCGTGCGGGAAGAGCTACCAGCCCATCTCAACGAGACCTTTCCCCGTGGGCAGGATTTCCCGGGGGGGCTGAGCCCCTGCGATGCCTATTCATTTCAGCTGGAGCACAGGTGCTGGGCAGTGGGGCTCGGGCATCAGCCCCAGGCCTCAAAGTCTCAGCCAGCCCTGGGGACCCACTCAAAGGGGTCCCAACCCACTGCTTGAGGGAGGCTGTACCAGACAACACTCAATCCCTGCAGGTAGGTTTGATTAAACACCCCCCAGACACCTTCCGGGGCGGGGGGGGGCATTCCTTACACCCCCGGGACACCCCGACGTCTAGGGGGAGCCCCGTGTTCTGAGCACGGGCCTCATGCACTGTGCCGGGGAGTCTCTGTGTGAGTCTGCTCTCTCCTCCCCAGAGTCACTGGCCGCTCCGCCCCCTGGGAGCAGCCCCTGCTTGCACTGCCAGGGCCTGGCTGCAGCTGCTCCACTTCCCATTTATTAAGTTAACAAATAAACACCCTGGCCGAGAGCAGATGGGCTCTATTGATTCAGAGCCTCCCCCGGGACCCATCAGCTCTCTGCATTTTAATATAGATTAGCCGGCCTTGCCGGGGATGAGCTGGCGACTGGCTTGCGCTGCTTTAAAAGGAGCATGCAGCCCGGGGGCGAGAGGGGGGAGAGGCTGGGAGGAGAGGCCCTGGCCAGCAGGGGGCACCAGGCCAGAAGCCTGGCCCCAGCAGCCCTGGCTGCTCCCGCCCCTCCTGTGCAGAGCAGGGCTGGGCGGGGGTGTCTCCGGCCTCGTCTCCAATCCCAAGGCGCTGGAGGGACAGTGCCAACCACCGGAGGGCCCGGTGGGTCAGACTCTGCCAAGGGCTCAGCCCCGGCGTCAGCACGGCGAGGGAGAGGAGGAATTCAGCAGACCGTGATACGCTGCAGATCCCAGCCCCAACCCATCCGCCCCTCCGTGGTTCCTCTCCTGGCACGAATGGCTTTGGCTCTGGCTGGTCAAACGCTGCCACAGAAGGGACGGGGCAGGGCTGCGGAAGCTCCACGCGCAGCAAAGGGGCGATGCTGATTTACGCCGGCAGAGAACCCCCCTGCGCTCCCCTCGCCTCACCTCCAGAGCCGTTCCACCCCCGGGGCCCAGGAGCAAGCCGGTGCCTGGCGGCTGAGCTACAGCCTATTTTAGGAGGAGTCCAGCAGAATCCACGTCCCGCTCGGTGTCGTTTTCAACGTTCATTTCCACCCCCCTCCCCTCATTGGATTTGACCCAGAGTGACGGGTCCCGCGTGGGACGAGGACAAAGCAGCCCCTTTTGAACTCAGACAGGGACGTTTGCCGTAATCGCCTCCCAAAAGCCACTCACCTGTGCGTCGGGGGTTGCTCAGGGCGATTTCGCTCCTCTGCCAGGAACGCCCCCCGCCCGGGGGAGAACACTACAAGGGAGAGCCACCCGCGGCTTCTGTGCATCCCTGCCTTTGTGTGGGCGCAGCCCCGGGCGTCACAGGCTCCTGCTGTGCCCTGGGGGCTCCTCCGCCCTAGACAATGCCAACAGCCAGTCACTGCAGGGTGAGCGTCTCCTCCGAGCTGGGGCAGGCTCTGTCAGCGGCACCAGGCAGAGGAAGGGAGGCTATGTCCCAGGAAGGCTGGGCTTGTGGTTAAGGCTCCGGCTGGGACTCGGAGGTAGGTTCAGTTCCCACGCTGGCCAGACTCCCCAGTGACCTTCGGCCAGTCACTCCGGAGTTGATTTGCACAGGCCCACGGGAACGAG